ATCGGTTTTAATAGCCTGAACTTTCATATATCAAGTTCATTTAAAATATAGACCACCCATAGTAGTACAAAATGCACTAAATTACATTTTTACATTAATATTTTCAAATTCACAAATGCTATTCCTTTCTCCTCCCAACGATCCAATCAGTTCAGTGCTATTCTCCTCACTGGACTCAGAGAACATAAATATCTCCCTACAAAAAGGGCCCTCGAAAATTCCTTCATAAAGACATTTTCTCAAGATCACACAAAAGATGAGCAAAAAGATGAAGTAACTTGTTTATTGTCCTGCTCTATGAATTTCAGCAAAGCACTTCCTGATTCCTTAGGCCTGATTCCTTGAAGGCCCTGCACGCACGGGATATCTTTTTTCATAGCATATCAACAACGAATCGCCACATTTTCATGCAGGTATTTTAATCTTTTCTTGAGGATATTATTCTGAGTCAGGGTATGGCCAGAATAGTCTCATCTTAGATAAGTTTTGGCTAAAATAAAGTAGGCATCATAAGTTAAAGAGGCATCTAAATAAGGTTCTGAAATGAGGGGGAAAAACTTTCTTATGAGCAGTGATCCTGAGCCTCTCACATTACATAAAATCTCTTTTCTCATATTACTCCAAGGATCATTAAGCACATGTGAATTTTGTGAAATACAAGGCTGCTTACATAGCATACAAAGCCGAATGCTTTTAAGACTATTGCCAAAAGCCTGCAGCTCAGTAGTTGCTAATGCACATACTATGTTCTATCAATTTTTTCCTAAATAACTAATCCTGCTATGAAACCAAGTTACCTTCAGAAATATATACAAGTTCCTTCTTTCCTTCCTTCCTCCTCACTTTTTTCTTTCTTCTCTCCCTTTCTTCCTCTCTCCTTCCTTTCCTCCTTCCCTCCTCTCTTTTCTTTCCTTTCTCTATCTCCCTCCCTCCCCGCTCCCCACAACTAGGCTGAAAGAATTATTATAAATTTGCTGAAAACAATAAAGAACTTAACTTAAGGAAATCTATTCATTTCACAATTAAGCTTTCATTCTATAGTCATGGGACTTCTTGGCTGGTATCCCAGAGGGTACCTGGCTAATGTGAGCATCCCTTGCCCAGTGTCATTCTCACCACATTATAGTATTAGCTTTCCACCTCTGTCACTATAGAACAATGCATCCAGCACCATGATCCTCTAAATACATCATGAAAGAAGATCATTCACGCTGGTAGTGAATGTACATCACATTTCCACTGCAAACATCCCATACTCATCTCCTATTGTAAAGCAGATTTATAACCTAATATGATTCAAAACACGCGAATAGAAACCACTCATTTCTCAGTAATTTGCTAATTATTTTGAGCTACTTGTGAAACTGAGATCATTAATGTTACTTGAAGCTGCTCGACCATATTCTGGCTATAAAAGTTTGCTATGGATTAACTGGGATAAGGCTAAGATTTAAGTGGATTTTCCAGAGAAAGTTGTTAGGGAAATTCCCTCTTTCAAATCGTTCTTTAAAATGTGTCACAGGGGGTGTGGTGTAGTGGAAAGAAAACTATCTTCCAGGTCGAACTCAGCTCTGCTGCTCACTAGTATCTGACCCTGGGAAGGTAATTCCATCTTCCTGAGCCACAGTTTCCTTCCCTGTGCCTTGAAGATAAAAATATCTACCCTACAATGCAATTGTGAAGATCAAATGAGATAATGTATGTAAGAGTGCTATGTAAGCTAGAGCATGTACATAAAAGTCTTGGAGCACACTTTGCACTGAGGAAGAAAATATTAACTATAATAACTATAACGCTATAAGTGCTAAAATAGGTACTATAGGAGAACAGAAAAGGAAATGTGAATCTCAGCCAAAGAGAGCGCAGGGCTCAGGAGGAGGCTGAGTCTGGCTGACTTTGAGACTGATAAGGGGTAGATGAGGGATGGATAAGCTGGACTTCTCCCAGTGGGAAGAAGAGGCAGGGGAGCTTCGGGGGGTACAACCTGAACAGAGGCACACAGGACGGGGAGTATGGCCCCTTAGGGAGCTATGGGGATGGAGCACAGGGTATACCTGTGGGGTGAGGCAGGAGATGAGGGCAGAGAGAAAGGTAAATGCCAGAAGGAAGAGCCTGTGAGCCACATCAAGAAGTCTAGACTTCATCTCACATGTGTTGGGGAGTCCTGGAATAGATATCAAAACAAACAAACAAAAAGAAAACAGCAAAAAACAGATTTCTGGTTTATAATGTTTTCCTATCAAACATGCAGTTCCTACTCTAGGTGTGTGCTTGTGGGCAAGAAATCCTTTGAGACAAAGATTGTCACCGTAAACATATAAAAAGAAATTACAATGCATGTATTGAACTTCTACTCTGTGTCAGGTACTGCACTAAGCCTTTTGCATGCACTACTGTTCATCTTCAAAATGTAGTTGCAACATAGGCATTATCATCTACATTTTAAATATGAGGACACTGACTCAAAAAAGATAGTCTCTTGTCTAAGTTCAAAGAACTAGCAAGTGACAGAACCAGGAAATTAGTTTTATCATATGGTCTGTAACTATATATGGTGTTGGGGGTACGAGACTTATCAAAGTTTTATCATATGGTCTGTAACTATATATGGTGTCAGGGGTACTAGACTTATCAAGAGAATCATTCATAAATTATATAAATGTCTAACCACTATGCTATACATCTGAAATTAATATAATATTGAATGTCAACTGTTGAAAAAAAATTTATTTTTTTTTTAAAAGAAGAAAAAATAAATTTGTTTATCTATTTACTGATGCACTATCTTCCTGATATATTTTAGGTTACATGAGTTACTATTCGCATGCCACCAAAATTTCAGAGAAAAATAAGGGCACTGATTTTTTTCAGTTAAATGAAAATGTGATTTCAACTATTTATGAATATTATATAATACTATAAAAAATGTAGAGAATTTTTTAAATTCTTACCTAAAGTACTACCTGTCAACATATTATGTTTCTTAGTCTACATAAATTACATATTTATTTTTAAAAGTCTGATACAAAAAGGAAATACAGATGGCCAATAGGTATATGAAAATATGCTCAAGTTCACTAATCATCAGAGAAATGCAAAGTAAAACCAAAATGAGATATCACCTCACACCTATCAGAAGGGCTATCATCAATAAATCAACAAAAAACAAGTGTTGGCGAGGATGTGGAGAAAAGGGAACACTCATACATTCTTGGTGGGACTGCGAATTGGTACAGCCACTATGGAAAACAGTCTGGAGGTTCCTCAAAAAATTAAAAATGGATATACCTTTTGGTATTTGGATATACCTCCTGGGTATTTATCCAAAGAAAATCAAAACAGTAATTCATAAAGATCTATGCACCCCTATCCTATGTTCATGGCAGCATAATTTACAACAGCCAAGATATGGAAGCAACCTAAATGCCCATCAACAGACAACTGGATAAAGAAGTTATGGTTCATACATACAATGGAATATTACTCAGTCATTAAAAAAATGAAATCCTACCATGCAATGACATGGATGGACCTAAAGGTTATTATGCTGAGTGAAGTTAAGTCAGACAGAGAAAAATAAATACCATATGATTTCACTAATATGCAGAATCTAAGGAACAAAAAGAACAGACTAATCAAAAACAGACTCGCAAATATAGAGGACAATCTGGTGACGGCCAATGAGGAAGAGGGTTGGGGGGCTGGGAGAATGGGATGAAGGGTTAAAGAAGTACAAATTAGTAGTTGATATATGGTCACGGGGATGGGGAGCACGGCATAACGAATACAGTCAGCATTAATGAAATGGCTAGGTGTACAGCCAGAGGAAAGAACGAGCAATCAGGGAGATCGTTTCATAAACTATATGTCTAAATCAATGTACTTGAAACTAATAATAAAATAAAATATATTTTAAAGGCCTGATACATACAGGTAGAGTCTATTGCAATAGCTATTGACTTCAAAGTCAAGAATCTCATCATTCAAAACATTTTTAATTAAAAAGAAAATATCAGAAAGTCATTTTGAGATTTTATCATAAATGTCTCAAATAAATGTAATGTACAGCATGGCAACTATAGTTAATAATACTGTATTGCATATTTGAAAGTTGCTAAGAGAGTAGATCTTAAAACTTTTCATCACAAAAAAAATTCTGTAAATATGTATGGTGACGGATATTAACCAGACTTATTGTGGTGATCATTTCACAATACAAAGAAATAGCAAATCATTATGTTGCACACCTGAAACTAATATAATGTATGTCAACTATACCTCAATTAAAAATTAATAAAGAAAATTAGAAATAAAAATAATAAATGACTCAAAATCTATGGCTTCTAAGTAACATTCTAGGAATGTTGCTTAATACCATAGTTCATAATCTTAACATTACTTTAACATACAGTTACAAAAAAAATTTGCAAAGACTTGCCATAGCCGTATTTCTGGTACACTAACTAACTTTAATCAGCTCCAAGATTTGCTTTATCAACAAAGGTAGAAAGCCTAGTGGCTAATGAATTTTCAAAGTACAAAACAAACATTGCCAAACTCCACTAAAGCACTTAAAAAATACAGACTACTTACTCTGCATAAATATACACATGATTCACATGATTGAAATGTCAACACTCACTCATAATTTTACTATTCCTTTCTATTAGTGCAAAAGAGGATGTACATTTAAAAGAGGCTATGCATAAAGATGTAAAACAAGTACAAACAATACCAAGCAAACTATGGTTAACTAATTCAATTTTCACTACAAATAAAATACACTCAGAGTGAAAAACTGAGATACCAAATTCCTTCCAGGTATTCCTTAGTTTCTAGAGAAGTGAGCTAGCAATAAAAACATTTAAGTAATATATTAAAAAGTTCTACAATTGGAAAAATACATAAGAGAGACAGGAAGCGATGAAATTTGTGAAGAGACGAGGGAGGGTAAGGTTTCCACAGTTGCTATGGGTGTTATCCGACTCAATCTTAATTACCTTGCAGTGAAATATGGAGATCATCGATGCCCAAGGAAACCTGTTCATCTTCAGTGGGAAGCACAGGACTGGATGCCATCCTTTGATTCAGTGGAGATTACACCATGTCCATATCAGTTAAAGAAATGAACTAAAAGTAAAAGGGATAAATGTTCATTAGTAAGTCCGCTGCTTTGCATTTCCAGTAAACATGTATCACCAGAGAGTAACTGAAACCAAAACCTGCCCTCCAAAAGCAGCAGAGTTTTCTAGAATTTCCTTCGTTCATGAGGAACAAAGTGACTACGCCTTCTTTTCTGAATCATAATCAAGATTTTGCCCTGGGACCTATTCATGTTCACTGGAGTTGCTGGCAGAACTCCAAAAAAGCCAGCATTGTGGATTTCACATCTGTGGTGAAAAGGAAAGCTACACGGTTAGATTCCATATCTTGTCTAGAGGAAGCACAGTTGACACAAACTGGTATCTTAGGAGTCTTTGTGTGTTTTCTTGTCAACCTTCACCCGGCAAAGATTTTCTTTAAAGTTTTTTATCTAGCTTAATTCCTTTTCTGCTCCATAAATGTTACCATTTACTAGAACAGTAAGAGCTGACCCTGCATAGCCTATAAAGTGAAACTAAAAAATACTATATTGAAAGAATGTTTAACGGGTTATCTGTTAGAATGAATTATTTTCCCAAGTACTTGTCTTTCTCCCTACACATTTCTTTCTCTTTCCCCACTTTGACTCTTAAAAAATCCTTCCAGTAAGAGTAATTCTTACTCTGCAACTCTAAAAGTATTGCTTCATGCATGTGTATGCCACTATTAGTATCTTGGGGGTTGAGAATAAAACATTGACTTCTCTCATACAGATGATGATTTTCTTATCAAAATAAACCTAACCAAATATATAAAAATATAAAATGTATTAGAGGATAAAGAGAGGGATGAATAAATGTACAGATATGTGGTCAAGCAAGGATAGCAAAATGTTAATGGTAGAATCTACGTGTTGGGGATATCAGTGTTCACTGTAACATCTTTTAACTTTGCTACATATTAGAAATTCTTCATTAACAAAATGTTGGGGGAACTAAAAACTAAATAAACTTGAGGCACCAGCTAGATACAATCATATTAAAATCACTAATCAGTTAATCCTACAGGTAGACTTTAAAATTTCTATCTTGCCTTCCCCACTCTCTTTTTAGCACCCACAACCCCTTCTATTATCTCTCCCATGGATCACTCTGTTGTTGAAGATTTTACCCACCAAATAAACTATGTATATTAATTAATAATTAATTGTTTTATCCTCTGAATTAAGAGGAATCAGAGACCACCTGATGCGATAGTGTTACTATACTGAGTTGGTGGGATTCTAAACCAAAATAAAACGCTGTTTGTTAGTTCAGGTGAGCCTGTGCAGCCTGAAGAAGGATAAAGGTAAAAATATCCTCAGCTTCTGATGTACTGAGGATCTCCACTCCCCCTTCCTGTACCCAAGGGCTACTAAACTCAAAGCAAAGACAGAGAGCACTTCATGATGTCAGGAAACAAACTGAATTCCAGAATGAATTTCCTAAGGGCACCCACTATTCCCTGCTCGGACTATTTAAACAAACAAATAAAAAAGGGTAGTAACGGTAGGAGCATAAACATTTTTATAGCACTTACAATACACAGGCACCATTCGAAGCACTTTGCATATATAATCTCATCTAATCTTTATGACAACTGTATGAGTTAAGTACTATAATTATCCCCATATTTGAAAAGACAAAACTGAGATACACGAATGTCATATACAGCTGTCCATGGACACATAGCTAATAAATGATGGAGCTAAGATTTGAACCAAGGTGGTTTTGGTTTCATACTCCATGTTCTTCACCAATACAAGTTGATACCTCATAGGGCTAGCTGAAACTGCCCAGATTTCATTTATTCTTTCTTTCCTCATTTACTTAACAAGGATTTTTATGTGCTAGACCCTGCTGTCAAGGAATTCAATCTTCTATGAATGACAAATCAATAGAATATTGAGAAAAATCCTCTAAGAAATATATGCAGAACATTCTATGGAAACAAAGGAGAAGGCGTGCCCCCATCAACCTGAAGCTGGAAATAGATGTGACTGTCAGGAGTGTACTTATTATAAACAGCTTTTCACCCCAAATAGTCTTATTAGCATTATTCAGATAACACCTTGAATTCAATAAGAATATCTCTGAAAGCCACTCATCACCATTCAATATTAATCAAATAAAAGGTAATAAATGTAGAGGAAAGAATTTCACTTTGCCTTATTTATATTAAAAATAAAAATAGAGCAATAGAGAATAAATCGACAACCAGAGAATCAAGAAATGTTCCTGTGAGAAACTGGTACGTGGGATTCATTATAATTGTATATTAAAGTTGTTGAAAAAAATTAGTATTAGTCAAAAAAATGTCTAGACTTAAGAATAACTTTGCCTGAGAGGTTATTTTAAACAATGAAAATTTATTGGCAAAAAGTCAACAATATATAATAATTATTTGTTTACTGAAAAAAAAAGAATGAAGGCTCGGCCAAAACCAAAGAGCTTATCAACCAGCCTCCCTGAGGGCCATCCTATCATTGGTGTTCAGACTTCCCCATGCGGAGCACAACAGCTGCTTTCTCAGGGAGGATCAGCGCAGTAGAGCCCTTCCCCAGTGCTCCTCACAGCTTTACTTTTCCTTTTCAAATAAAAGTTACACCCAATTCTGTAACAAATCTCATTTGCTTTAGAATGAAAATAAATTAGACTAGTCTTACAAGTGAATAATGGACCATCTTCAGGTACATAACCAAAGACTGGGCAAAGAATTAATATAGTGGCATTACAGATTCTAAGATCAAGTGGAATCGTATGGAATGACGTTTTAGAAATTCATGTATATTAATATACGTGCTTTTACAAATGGCATAAGCTATTTTGAAACAACTGTGGTTTGCTTATGCAATATATCTTAATATGTCTCTGGTATCTCTAAAATCTCAAAACACTAGAGAATTTCCCCTTTTTAAAGAAATCTTGGCATTTACTTTGTAGTATTAGAATTTTTTTCAACTCAAAATGAAATCTGAATAGAGATTATTGCTAATGAAAGCAATTCTAAATGAATTTTTTATTCATTTTACTTATCTGAATTTTAAATTGTTCAGATGAATACATAATTCTGCTACAGTAAGAAAAATGTGTTTGTTTCTATTTTAACTAAATGACAATGGGAACTAAGGTATTATTTGGTTCAGGGTCAGTTCTATGATCCATATGCTATGAAATCTATATCTGTATCTTCTTCTTCATAAGGAAAAAAATACTCTCTTGACACAAGTAAAACATTAGAAAAATTCTCTGAGTTTGTCAAAAATTTCTGGAAAAGTCTCTTTAAAGCCTTTTTGGTAGCTCAACAAGTCTCTTATTTTCTGATTATTAGGTAGTTTGCTAACAAGCCCTGCCAATTTTATAGCACTGGCGAAATCACTGTGTCAACAGGGAGAAAGGGACATCTCTATCTTATCTTCAAAGGCTGATCAGAAGGTGTAACATAGCGGGATGTAGTAAGTACGCTCAGTTACTTCTTTAATGGTGATTTAAATGTTAACTTTTTTCCCTGGGGTGCCTCCCTCCTTTTTGTCTTTTCTTCAGCTGTTATTTATTGACCACCTAGGACATCTGAAGGCTCTCCCTTCTGTCAGCTAAGTTATAGAGCTATTCCTTGCAACTGACAGTTGTTAACTTTGATCTGCTTACAAGCTCACAGAAGAAAGTTGGTGACACATTTACAATAAGTGTCCTCGTCTTTTTTCCATTAACTTTTCCTAACTCTGTTATTACTTATTTCTTCATCATCATCTGACCAGAAGCAATCGGTGCAAACTCCCACACCAGATGATTTTTAAAGTCTACTCTATTATCTCTTTTCAGGCACATTATTTTTTCTAATGACCACCATAAAATGCGAGAAAAATCATTCCTATCCATTATCACTACACATTTGGGAAACAAACATATAACAATACTCTGGCTATGATACCACTGTGCTTGCTGCCTCACAACGAAGCAATGTCACTCTTCAGCTAATACAAACTGAGCCACTAAACCACCTACCTCGACCATGATAAAAGCATTCTGACTGAATGTAGCCAATTCCCTAAAAGAGCCCTCTGTTGGCCTTGACCAAGTCCCAAGTGTTCTGAACCGCAGGGTGCAGTGCTACAGAATGAGAATGACATTATTTACAGGTGGTTGTTGGAATTCAATGAACAAACACAAGAAACTAAAAAATGACAGTAACGACTAACATTATTGAGTGCTTACTATGGGAGATGTATTACAATATATAAACGTTCTTTATTATAATTTGTGAAATGAATTTGTCAGGATTATTCTATTTCTTAATCAGCAGTAAAAAGTAAAAGCTAGTCATAGTACTAAAATGAAGGGTAAAAAAAACTTAAGGAAAATGTCCAGCGCTACAAAATCTTATGTGTTAAATCAGCACCAATCCAGAAAGCATGCACTCAGAAAGTAATTATTTTTAATTTCCGCCAGCACATTTTAACCTAGAAATTCTGCCCTTGCACGCCACACTCACATTTTCTACAGCTCATAATTCCCCCAGCAAATGTTCCGTGCCTTTGGTACCACCATGTCCCCAATCTCCCAAAAACCCTGGAGTTAACTTTAAGTTACAAGTACTGACAATGATTTGGGTTTCTTTTTTCCCATATATATCTCGTCATGCCTTTTGTCACCACTTCTCTCTGTAACTCCATTACTCTGTTCCTAAATTGCTACCAAAGATTACAGTCTTCCCTATCAACTCCAGCTTTGCAACCCGCTTCTTTCAGGAATCCCTAAGAGATCTGGGACATAGAAGCAAGAGATACTGAAGAAGCTACGGATTAGACATGGGTATGAAAACAAATGGAACAGAGTATGTTGAAAATCAGGGCTGATAGCTAGATTTTAGGCAGGTCTACAAAGCAACGATAGGGCCTCCAGCCCTCACCCTCCCTACCACCTCCCAGCACCTACTCCAAGAGTACTGGCAGCCAGACCTATTCCCCAGACCCCCCTAGTTCCACCCACATGTTGGATTTCAGAGGATCT